CCCCGCCGCAGCCGCCGCCCCAGGGCCTCCCGGAGCCGAGGCCGGGTGCGGAAGCGGTCGTGGAGGTGCTGGAAATACCGAGCCCACTCTAGAGCCCTGTCCAGGGTCAGGGAGTCCCAGTCCCGCACCAGCGCGGAGCGGGAGACGGCCAGGAGCGCGGGCAGCTGCTCCACCTGCTCCAGCACGGCCTCCATCGCGGCCGGCCCCGGCCTTGGCGCCACCGGTTTGAGCAGAAGTCCCGCCTCCCGCCGGGAACCGCAGCCAATCCGAACCGGGGAGGGTGGAGATTTGTTAGTATATTGGCTGAATCTGACGTCAATCCGATGCGGATTGATCTTCCCTTAAAGGAGCCTTTAACCGGCCGCCTGTGTCGGTCATTTGTGTCTAATCCCTCAGCGAAGGGCGGGGGGGTTGGTAGTTGCGCCGAACTAAAGTGTTAAAAACCGAGCAGGATTAAGTTAAAAAAAAAAAAACAAACAAAAAACCCCCAAACAGCTAAGAGTCTTAGAATAAGCCTTAGAATAATATTCCTAAATACCCCTTAAAAAAATAAAGCTCTTCAAGAGCCTGCCCCACATTCCGAGATGTTTCCCGATTCCTGTGGTATGCCCTGTCCCTGGAGGGCAGCCGTGGCTGAGCTCAGCGTGGCACCCCACCAGGGCCGAACCCTGCTCAGCCCACACGGCTGGGCTTACCCTACTGACCTACCAACTAATGACTTTGTAGCTCATTAGGGGTTCCCCAGGGTATCCGGCCTTCCCTGGGTACCAGCACTAGGCCTCTGGCTGCCTGCAGAGGTAATGGCTAACACCTGCCCTGGCCTTCTGGGCACCGACACAGCCAGGGTTTACCCACATGGATGCCCCCCAGAGAGCATGGTGGAAACTTGCTGCAACCGCTCCTCTCTGTAGCGAGGAGAGGCGACCCCTTCTCCCTTTCCCGCCTCTGCCAGCTGAAGGACAGTTTTACATGGCAGGCTAGAGGTATTAACCGTAGCTTGCTTGGAGGATGCAGCCTACCTGTTGGAGCAACTGTTCCCAGGTGCTTTCCTCACGTCCGCCGCCTCGAGGGCTTCTGCTCAGCTGGGCGACAGGTCCTTTCCCTCCATCCTCATCCCCACGACAGACCGGCCATGCTCAGCGTTCCCTCACGGTGTGGAAGGGAGCAAGCCGGCCTGGCTTCTGGCAGTTTCCTCAGGTCCCCCCTGCTCTTCTGCTCCTGAGGGGGTGAAGCAGCAGCCGGAAGGCAGCGGGGCGCTGGAGCTGGTAGGTTTGGGAGTTGCTGAGTGCTCCTCAGGGAGTTCACGAGCCCCGTGGCATAATCCTGGCCACCGAGCGGGTATGGAGGCAGCTGAGAGGCCTGGTGAGGCAGTGGAGAGGCCTGGTGAGGCTCTGGTGCCGTCAGCTGGGCCCAGAGCTGGGCTGCAGGGCAGTGCCGGCTGCAGCAGTGCCCAGGGTCACCGGGGCTGGGCCTGTGGAGGGGCATTCCCTCCTCACCCATGCCTGGCAGGACATGGCCCCATGGCCCACCCTTTGGGTGGCAGTAGTGAGGGACGACACAAATCCCGCTGCCAGCCTGCCTGAGCAACTACTTTGGTAAGGGCTTTCTGAAAGGCAAGAGCAACACCTGGCAGAGTAAATGAGGTTTGACTGGAATTTATTGCGGGAACCAGCAAGAGAAACCAAAATATAATGCTGTGAGCTACAATACTGTAGGGCAAACCATAATACTTTTATGCAGAACACATGTTTTCTTCCATACATCTTAATGCTGGAAATGGTTTCCCCCAAGTTTGTTATCTAAATGAACTGCATTTTTGGGTGATGGAGTGAGTGTGCAATAGACTCTCAATAGCAAATATTCTTTAGCTCAGATAGCAAAGGACACAACTCGTAGCCTCTGAGTTACACCAGACTTCAAACTAACATGGGTGAAAGACAAGAAAGAGGCCCACAACTTGCTTCCACTGCTTTCTTTTCCGCTAAGGAAAACTGAAGCAGGTGAACAGAGCCACTGAACCCATTAGAGTCCCATGCCTCGCTAGGAACATGCTCAGACCTTGTCCCCTGGTCACAGACCCCTGCCCTAAAGGTAACTGCTAGCTGTCGGTGACCGGCTTCTCTAATTCACATCATACTTCCAAAATAAAGCAAAAGAGAGAATAAGAAAATTGTAAGTAAGGGTTTAGATACTAATCTCCCCTCTTCAAACCCTCTCCTGGACTGCCCTGGATGGTTGTTAAGGAAAGATCTTTCTCAAGTACTCTCAAGAAAACAGAGCTCTCATCTGAGCTCTTATCCTATTTTCTTATTTCATTCATCTATTTAAAAAAAACATGGGGTTATAGACTTGATGGTCTAGATCACCTGTAGGTTAAGGGCCTAATACAGGAATTAGAGTGAAATTCTATGGCCCTTCTGGTTGAAGGAGCTCATAACGATCCCTTAATATCTATGAATATAATGTATTTTAAGGTATCATTCTAAAATAGATGTTTTTCTCCTGAACAATCTCTTTTAAGCTTTCTGTTAACTATTTCTGGAGTAATAAACATAAAATTTGATACAGATGGCTAGAGATTTGTTGCCTTTTTAACAATGGAATTGCTTTTGTTATTAATAAATTCCTACTTACCTATCATCTGCCATGCCCGTACACTCCAAAGCATATTACAAACTAATATACATCAAAGAGAAGATGGAACATGCAAACTTTTCAGTTACATACAACTGAGTGCAACACTTTGGGACATTTTACTTAATGCTTTGCTTAAATGGAAAAGTGATAGAAACCTGAAGTGGCTGGAATATGATTACATATTACGTACTTTGGCCTCTCGGTTAGGTTTAATACAGCATCTCTTGAATTAAGTGCTGTGGCATACAGGAAGAAAACAGTTTCAGTGAATTTCAGACCCATGTTCTATTTTAGTGAGGGATATTTCTGGAGGTGCATATGCTCCATGTCATGAAGAAGAGAAGAGATATTTCCCTTTACATCAGAAAACTTTTCACAAGAAATCTTTCACATTATTGGTTGGTTTTTTTTTTTTTGGATAACATATATGGGTTTATATCCTGTGAATGTCTCTGTATGTTTCAGTTGAAAGAAATCAAATAATCACATTTGCAGCACTAGGAAACTAACAAAAACAGGTTATGAAAATCTAACCAGACTGGAAAAACCACGGACTAATATGGTATCTGGAATACTCTTGCATGTGAAGGGAGATGGCCTGCATGCTCTAATGGGTCTCTGTAGAGCTGACTGAAAAATGGAATTTCCATTTTACAAAAAACTCTGAATATTTCAGCACTTGGTTTTGTCTCAAATTAGGATGAAAAGTCTAAATATCAGCCTTTTTCATCAAGGGGACACAGTCTGATATCTCTGTAATAAAATGGTTCATGCAAAAACCACATTTATGTATTTCTAGGTACTGCAGCTGTATTTGGAGTCATGATGGGGCACAGTTGATGCATATAATGAAAAATAGAGCCTGATCTGAAGAACTAGGAGAGTTCTGCATAAGAATGCATTAGAAGATGAATTCAAGGAACAAACAAAAGAAACAAGGTAGCACTGAGACAGTTATGATTCATGTAATAAATTGCTATACTACAATAGCCCTTAAAAATAGTAATTCTTTTTCTACACTCACCATTGAAGGAAGACCCTTTCAACTCTGAGTTTTGTGTTATTATTTGAGAGCCTGGCTACTCTCAGAATGTGTTTTGGGATCTTCCACTGTAAGACTGGAATCTATTTATCTGTTGATTGATCTGCTGATGCTGGTGCCATGTAGTAATCAAATTAAATTGAACAAACATGGTTTCTTTCTCACAGGTGAATTATTTTCCCATGGCTTTTAAGTGCTAGTACTCTCTCTTTTATGATCAGTCTTAGTTTTAGCTTGAGTAGCCCTTGGGTTTTTCCTACCAACAGCAAGATTACTAAGCATCACAGTTTGCATTTTGTAATTACTGTCTATTGACTTATGTTAAGTCTGTTGCTACCTGATAGTATTGCTGAGCTGTGTAGACATTGTTTAAAAACATCTGTACAATGCTGAGTTGGTTTTCTACCTGAGGAATGTCTATGGGGTAGTGGGGAGATACTTAGGAAGTAAGCACTGCAAGACTGAGGAGGTGAGGTAGGAGAGTTAATGTTGGGGAAGGGGATGGGAAAGGTTGGGTCAGGATGTCAGGAGATATGGTCAGAGCACAGAGATGGGGGAGATAGAATGGTGAGTGGATTTTCAGATAGCTGCAGGTCTGTGGGGGGTGCTTTCCTACTTAGCTTGATTACTTTTTAAGAAAAAAACCTAAAAGTTCTCTTCTGGGCCTCGTGTAGGTCTTTGCTTGTTTAATATCAGTCTGCTTCCCCTATTAATGACTCTTGTACTAGTGCCTCGTACTGTTTTAGGCTGTGTTTGGATGTGTGTTTCACTTCACATAAACTGCAGTCTCTATTTTTTTCTAACAAGAAATGGAACCCACAAAGATATCTTAAAGAAAATCATACAGACTACATGTGTGAGTGCATGAGGCTTCCTTCTATGAAGGATGGGGAAATATGTAGAAGTAGAATTTTTCAACTATTTTGAAGAATTATCACTTCATTACACAGTCTGAAAAGTAACCCCTTTGTTCTGTCTGATTTAAAAGCAAAGAAGAAAGTAGAAGAGAGAACAGGGCATATTTTGAATTATAGGCTAGAGCACAGATTTACAATTGATTGTTTAAGCTCTCTGCTATATGCTTCTTGCAGGTAGCTATGATACTGTGAACAGGGATAGCCAGTGTTGCTTGTGTTGTGGGTTTTGGTTCTGAGGTTTTTTTTCTTTTTTTCCTCAATAAAGTCTATCTTTTATTTTCATCTGTAAAATGAGCATTAAAATAAGAAAAGAGTCTTCAAGGGTATTCATCTACTGTTGTGTTAAGCTGTAGTAAATGTTTCTCCATTACAGCTTTTGATTGATAAGATACATGGCAAAAAAAGTTGTTGAGCAAGTAAGAATAGTGTCAGTTAGATACAGAATCTGGGAAGTCATTTCCACAGCTCCCTGAAAACAAGCCCACTTTTCAGTGAAGCACTGCAAAACCATTTCACAAGCCCTGCATTTTGTATGAATTACTGTACTGTTTTATCTAAGCTGAGAAGTCAAGTAAAAGATTCATATGAAGTTTTATGGAACTGGTGAGTTTCTTCTCTCTGGTTATGGAGCCAGTAAAATTCACCCTGGCAGGGAATATCAGTTTTGAAGCAAAATTGGTCAAAGCAGCCAGAAGTCTGGATTCC